AAAAATTAAAAAAAAAAAAAGGGCCATCTCAGATTCTAAAATTCCCTACACGTTCTTAGCCTTTTTTTATAAGGCTATTTGATTGCACATTTTCTGTACATGTTACTCTCAAATTTTAGTGTAATTCCAATTCAGTCGTCTTAGGTCAGATAACATGCTTTTCCTCACGCTGTGTTCACTACGGTCCTGATCCCACTCCCCCTCCCTTACCAGCTCATATGATGGCAGCTTCACTCAGTGCAGGTCACCCTTGCAAACCCTCAGTGTTCATTTTGTACTAAACTACTCCGGTCCTGCCCTAACAGATAGCTGCTCTGCACTCCCATGTCTGCCGCAACCTCCCTGCCATTCCAGGACCTTGCCAGCCCTGGATTTCCATGCCTGCTCAGACTTTTCGGTTTTTTCCAGACTCATATGCAAGTGGTTAGCAACAGACAGATGTCGCTGGCTTCTCAAGATTTCCCTTTCCCTAGGTAGCCCACTTGGCCCAGGTGTCTTGCAGAAAAAAAAAGTGCCAGTTTACCTTTCAACTAAGATAGGGGGGCCAGGAGATGGCTCAGTAGGTAAGTGCTTGCACGGCAAGCTCAAGGGCCTGAGTTCAATCCCTGGCTCCACCAAAAAAAAACCAAAAACAGAACCCTAAAAAGAATGCAAGTCTCCAACCTGGCCCAAGCTCCCCAGCCCCCCGCCTGCTTTCCAGCAGAAGCTCCACTCTGCCAGGAATTCAGCTCAATGCTTGAGGCTGTCAAGGCAGGACAAGGAGGCAGACAGGTCCTGGAGACCCCAAAATATACAGTGGACACTCCAAAGGACTCAGCCCACCAAGATGGAAGATGGCCACAGATGTTTCACCGAGACCTTCTGCCTAAACGTCCCTGCCTTATCTCCATCCCTACAAAGGGACACATTTCTCTGTTCAGGGCAGAAGGTTGTAGCACATTAAATTCCATGCCATGTTGCCTTTATACAAGCCTGCTCGCCTTTGCTGGTCACCTATGTTTGTTACACACTATAAATTTCAGCAAGGCTCATGATTTTTAAATTTTTTTTACATTACATTCATACTGACCTTGTCTTTCACTGACTTTGGCAATACTGGGAATTGAACTCGACCCTGCGCTTGCCAGGCAAGGACGTATTCCACTGAGCTATCTCCCTGGGTCCTACTGATTTTAGATTTAAGTGGGGGTTTTTTTGTTTGTTTTTATGTTTTTGATTCAGGGTCAGGAGTTCGATCCCCATGTCGCCCCAGAACTGGGTGTGGTAGTGCTGTAATCTCAGCACTGGGGAGGCTGAGACAGGAGGATCACTACAAGTCTGAACTGTAGTGAGAACCTCTATAAAAAGAAAAGAAGAAGAAGAAGAAGAAGAAGAAGAAGAAGAAGAAGAAGAAGAAGAAGAAGAAGAAGAAGAAGAAGAAGAAGAAGAAGAAGAAG